TGTTCACATCTGACCCCTTAATCATGTCTGTGCCTATTTCTTTCCTATTTAAAAATCCCATTCCATAGGTTGGCTTTTCATTTGCTTGATAAGTTTTTGTTTTTCTGAGCAAAAGCTTTTTTGAAGTAGTCCCACTTGTTAATTTTTGCTTTTGGTGTCAAGTGCAAAATGCCATTGCCAGGATCTGTGTCAAGGGGCTCACCCCGCTGTATTTTCTTGGATGACTTTTATGATTCCGGGCCTTAATTCAAACCTTTAGTCCATTTTGAGTTCGTTTTTGTGTATCATATAAGATGGTGTTCTGGTTTCGTTCTTTCACTTGTAGCGGTCCAGTTCTCCCCAACACCTCTATTGAAGGGCCTGTCCTTTCCACTGTATGTTCTTGGTCCCTTTGTCATAGACTAGTTGACCGTATATGTGTGGGCTTGTTTCTAGGCTCTCTATTCTGTTCCATTGAGCTATGTGTCTGCTTTTGTGCCACCAGCCTTCTTTTATTTGTTTATTTATTTTAAAATTGCTTATTCTGTTTTTCTCTGTTGTGACTGTTGTAAAACTTTGTCCCTCTCCTCATGTCCCCCCTAGACTGCTTCCCTCAGGGAAAGACGTTATCTTTACGGAGAAACTGAGGTTCTCAGGTTTGCTTCTCCTTGGATTTGTGTCTCCACAGTGACCTATGTGCCTGACCCTATCCTGACTCCCGCTCCACCCCCCCCACCCCGCCTACGTCTTGGACAGGGCTGACGTTTCCACATCTGTTCTGCAGGGTCCCCCCAGTGGTCCCTCCCTCTGTTGTGTTTCTGCTCTTCCCCCCGTGCCAGCTTCAGCTTTCCTGGCCTGTAAAAATATGAAACGTGGCTTGGACTCTCCCTTTAAAACACAGAAGTTCCTTCCCATATCCCCACATCATCCTCCAGCCGTTCTTCTTTCTCCTTCTGCTTGGTTTCTAGTGAAGCTCCTTAAAGGTCACTGCCTGCCCAGCTCTGCCACCCCCCTGACGCTGATCTAACAGGAGACACCGCAGTCCTGTAATCACTCACTGCACCTGGCTCTTTTCCGTCCTGTCTCTGAATCCAGGTGGCTCACGGAGCCCTCACTGCACAGCCCGGTCAGGAGCTGACTGACCAGAGCTGGCACTGTGGCACTGGGAGTGCCTCCCCACACCCGGGTCTCAGGCCCGCCTCGTCCCCTCCCTGTCTTCTTCTCATATGGAAACAGAGTTGTTTGTAATGTCGTGTTACTTTCCGCTGCACGGCGCAGTGACTCAGTCATTCATACCTCCGCTCTTGCTTAGCTTTCCTTCCCATTTCAGTCACCTCACATCAGAGTCGAGTCCCCTCTGCTGCTCAGACTGACAGGCGTCCTCCCTGCCCCCTGACTGGACTGTCCAGCGGCCTTCCAGCGAGTCTCCACGCCAGGGCACTGTCCCCCCAGGTCAGTCTCTAACGCCAGATAGAAGAATATGAAGATGGAGTCAGCCTTGCTCTCTAGTTAGGGAGATACCCTCTGTCTACCTTACTCTGCTCTTTCCCTGACAGCCACTGATGTTTTAATGCCAGATTTTCATTGCTTCTGTATTGCCTTTTATCAGAGTCATCTCCATCTTGCAGAATATGTTGGAGGAAAGCAAAGAATACCAGCCTCACACACACACACATGTGAGCCTCATTCATTCTTCTTGCAGCTGTTGAAGTGCTTGATAATCTTCTCTGCCTCAGGGTCCAGTCCATCTCTTGGAGCAGGTCTTACAGGACTCTCTGCCCGATCCCTCCCCCCCTCTCTTTACCACCTCTCCTCTCACGTCTTGATTTGCTCAGATTCCCCAGATGGTATCAGATCCTCTGCGGTGCGAAGTGGGAGGATCACTTGCCCCTTTGGACCCTGACTGCTTTCTGTCACTCTGTCTGTGTGTCTGAGGCTGAAAGCACTTAGCAGGCGGGACCTTGTGTGTCTTGGTTTCCGAATTCCCAGCCACAGCACCAGGCGGGAACGTCCCCGGGACGTGATGGATGGAGGTATGGAGGTCAGAGGCCGAGAGTGTGGCCCAGGACGGAGCTGGGAGAGGATGGTCCTCCCTAATGGGTGTTGGCCTCTTACAAGACGCCAGGCATTAGGTTCAGTGCTTGACGGCTGTCTCTCTCAGTCCTCGGCAAAGCTCAGCGATGTACTATTAAGTATCACCCTGGTGAGAAATGAAGAGTTTAGGCAAGTCTTTTGTTATGTCAAGGAGATTGGACTTAACACGTAGGCTTTTTTGACCGTAAAGAAAATAACTAAATTTTAGAAGATTTAAAAAGACATTATAAGGTTTTCTTTCCTTTAAAGAAAGAATCACATGCCTCCTTTCTGTTACGTCTGAGGGCTTTCTTCAGTGGTTAAACTCCTCTGGACTTGGCTTCTTTATCCCTTCTTGTTAGTCCATGTGCTTGCTGCGTCTCTGCAGCAAGACCATTTTTACAACTCAGATCAAATGCCTGATTAATCTAGGGGCCCGACAGCAGACAGCTTTATGCTCTGTCACTTGGATTAAAAGGCTGAAGGTCACTCAGGTTCATTGTTTATGCGCTGTGCTAACCTCCTAGCACCATTTCACGTTTTAATCCTTACAACAGCCAAGTGCTATTATCGTCCCCATTTTTCAGACCAGGAGACTGAGAGTTTGATGTCCTGGATCACTTAACTAGGAATTAGCGTGGACCAGGCTTGTACCTCGTGTCTTTGACCTGAGTTCTGTTCAGTCATCCTCATGGGCACTGCCTCCTCCCTTTCGGGAGCCTCCTTTCTGCTGCCTTGGCCTTTCTAGGAAGTTGCTGATCTCTACCTGATTCAGGACCCTGTGAGCCCAAAGGACTTGCTGGCTGATGTAGTAACATCTAGGGACAACTGTGTACTTCACAGGGTTAACTGACTGCCTTAGTTCTAGATCTGAACCTTTTAGTTTGCTTCCAGATGATACTATCATTTAATATTTAAAACACACTCAAATTGTGTTCAGGCTTTGATCTATAAAAACAGCATCTACAGAGCCATTTTTGGTCCTGTTTTTCTAACTTAGCCCTCCTAAATTTTGCATTTGTGATTTCTAGCAAGCAGGAGAGTTACAGTACAGTGGGCATAGAAAGGGTGGTGGGATCCAAAAGGATGGTGAAAACATGGCTCAAAGGTTTATCTGTCACATCCACGATATAAAAGCTACTTAAGTATTAAATCACCCAAAAATTTTGATGGTATTCTTTGTGAAAGTGTTTATGGTTATAAACAAAGTAAATAAAAATTTCTCCCTAATAACATTGCTAGAATATAGTATCTAACATCATAAAACAACCTCATAGAAATTTTTTTTGTCACACCTTTTTAAAAGCCAGCAGATTCCCAGCTTTCTCATAATAATGTCACTCCAAATACCCGAATCTAAATATAATTTTCTCTCCTGTCCTATGTTATGGGTATTATGTCTCAGGGAAAACGTCATGTGGGTTCAAGGTGGACCCTTTTCATACCAAATGCTGCTCTGGAGTGAGGTTAAATTATATATTAAAACATGTTTTCTGTAAAATGGTAGTACTAGCCAAAGCAGCATAAATAATTTTTTTTAAATGTAGTTGTCAGTGTTGTTTAAAAGATCCTAGACCCTACAGCCTCAGTGAAGCACCAGTGCTGGGATAGGTATGGGTAAGCAGGGATCCTTTGGGCCGCAGCCTTAGCTATCCCTGTGGGCCACGTGGTCATTCGTTGTAAATATGGACAAGGCTTGGAGGGTACAGATGTTGCCTAGCTTCAGAGAAGCATCCAAGCTCTAGTGGGGACTCTTTCCTAAAATATCTCATCCTGAGTGTTGGACCGTGGAAAGGGATATTGCTAAGCTCCCAAACTGGAGAATATTCTTACCTTCCTCCCCTGCAGAGGCCTCTGTTTTGCTCGATGGAGAAGCAGGGGGTTGTCACAGTACAATTTCAGGAATGTTAGGAGCTGTGCTTTGGTTCATCTACTGCTGATACAGAGCCCTCGGAGGTCTCTGGAGGGCAAGGGATCAGATAAGGAAGAAGTCATTCCTCATAGGCTGAGAAATCTGAAACTTCAGAAATTCCCCCTGATGAAGTTTGTTCCTCTCTAGTTTGAGGAATCTTTCTCTCTTCCTAGCAAGAGACACATGGAACAAATCACGGATGGTGTGAACAGTATTTGAGATAAATGCAACTGCTCGACAGTTTCCCAGCAGTTCTGCAAGGGCACGTGGTGCCTGCAAACTGCTGAGTCTGTTTTAATTCAGTGGAATATATTCAGACTCCTTTGGGGGCTCTAACACGTCTGTAGCCTTGGGCTCAACGCTGCATTATTATAAATTGTTTTATCTGTATGTTCTTGAGTAATTAAGCCGTTTCTCTGAAATTCATGGTTAGTGCCCACAGTAAGCCCAGCTGAGAAATGTTCACAAGACATTATCAAACTCTAATGCAGGCTTGGTTTTTCCTGGTGTTCAGAACGTGATTTCTAAATATGGTGGAGAAAAATTACCTTGGATGCTTGGTGCCTTACTGAACAGTGACCTTTAAGGTTAATTAAGAATGCTGGAGCCCTAGAGGCTTTCTGAGCAAACTTTTTGTTGCTTGAGGTAGCAACAAAATAGAAATGTGGTGTAAATGTTTAGAAAGCAGATGATTTTCGAGGTTGTAAAAAAAAATGAAGACCAGCTGTGGGAAGAAAGTGCTTTTATATGAATCCAAAAGAGAGATACATTTTAATTCTAAGTAAAATTTGAAACCTCAGACCACCACGCTTTTCTATAAATTGGCTTTTGTGTATCCACGTTAGGCCTTTTATTTGCTCCTGGTTAATGTATGAGCACATGGTGAAAAGAGAGAGGAAGATGGGTCAATTCTAGAAAACTGCAGTGGAAGCATTGATTGTTTCAATTTTCTGTATAGAAATGTTTGCTCAGTCTGTACGCTAAGTCATTTGATCATGCCAGGCATCTAATGACCAGCTTTCTTCTTTTTTCCCAGCTGACTCAGGTGTAGACACTTTGGCAGTGTTTATGGCCAGCAGCGGAACCACAGACGTCACGAATCGGAACAGCCCAGTCACACCACCAAACACCCTCAATCTCCGGTCCTCCCACAATGAACTATTGAACGCCGAAATAAAACACGCAGAAACCAAGAATAGCACACCCCCCAAATGCAGGAAAAAATATGCACTAACTAATATCCAGGCGGCCATGGGCCTCTCGGATCCAGCTGCACAGCCCCTGCTGGGAAATGGCTCTGCCAACATCAAGCTGGTGAAAAATGGGGAGAACCAGCTCCGGAAGGCTGCAGAACAAGGGCAGCAGGACCCCAACAGGAACGTCAGCCCCACCGCGGTCATCAGCATCACTTCTGAGAAGTTAGAGGGTAAAGAGCCCCACCCTCGGGATTCCCCGGACTGTGAGATTTTACCCTCCCAGCCCCGGAGAACCAAGAGCTTCCTGAACTACTATGCAGACCTGGAGACCTCCACCAGGGAACTGGAGCAGAACGTGGGCAACCAGCCTGGGGCTGTGGGAGAGAAGGCCCAGCCCGGCCAGGCCTCCCCCACTGTCGGGAACGGCGGCGTGCTGCTGCAGAAACCAAACAAGCCCCAGCCTAGCCCCGAGGAGGGCCACGCAGCCACAGTATCATCCAGCCCAGAGACCAAGAAGGATCACCCTAAAACGGGAGCCAAAACCGACTGCGCACTCCACCGGATCCAGAACCTGGCGCCAAGCGATGAGGAGTCCAGCTGGACCACTCTGTCCCAAGACAGCGCCTCCCCCAGCTCCCCGGACGAGACAGGTACCCGGGAGAGGTGTAGCCTGCGGTGGCACTTTCCCTTTTTGATGGAATTAATCTCTGCAGTGACCCCCCTCCCCCCAAATTTTCATTTGCAGGTGGAGAAGAACTTGAACCTCTTAGGGAAAAATTGGGCTATTTATGTGAAAAGTACTCAGCCTTTTCATTTTGATTCATACATAAGTTGTTTGTCCTGGGAAGCATTTTTATAAAAGAAATAAGTCCCTAGTATTAAATACAGTAAAACATCACTTATTTGGAAATTATACTGCCAGTGGTTAGGTGAACCATTTCTACATACTGTCTCGAAACAATGGGTTTTGTAAGGAAAATAATAAGACAGTTGCCAGGGGTGGATGCAACCTGATAAAGAGAACAATTATTTTTAAACTTCTCAGGAAAACATGTTTATGCTCAAGCTGATGAAAAGTTTATAGTGTTTAAGAAGTTGAAAGTCTATTCATTAAAGACATTTCCTTTTTGACCTTTACTGGGAAATATGTTATTAGCCTTGTGCAAGTGATATTTGAAAGTGAGAAAGTGGTGTTTCTTTTAATATATTTTCAGAAGTTTTGGATTTTAACTAGTCTAATTGAGACCAGTCTTTCTTGACTTTTGTCTGTTTGTAACATCTTTGGATTTTTCACAGAACTGAAAATTGCCACAGAAATGAGCAGGGTCCTAAAGCTGAGCCACTTTTTGTCTTATCTTCTCATAGTCCCCTTTTTACTGATCATAAGTTTAAAAGATTGGAGAACTAAATTGTCTCTGAGTTCACTGTAAACAAGCATACACAAAGGCTTCTTTCTTTCCCCTAACCCTGCATCTCGTGGTTCCCAGGGCTGTGTTAATGTGATACAGATGCTACAGATAGAACCACCAGGGAAGGAAATGACATTTTCCCAACCTATAAGGCAGAGAAATTACAAGGACTACAGATAGGAAAAGAGAAGGAGAAAATAAGACATTACCTTGTTTAAAAAAAGAAAAAAAAAAAAGGTTTTTTGAAGTGCCCTTTAAAATCACAGTGCTTTACATGATAGATTTCATCAGCTTCCTGTTGCTGGGTATATGGCAGTAGGGAAGTTGAGATGAGCCCATTTCATCTCATAAATGTCTGGGCCTGCACATTATTGGAATTATAATTATGTTTAGTAATGTCACTGAGTTCACAACTCTCTATCACTTTTTACATTTAGAGAATTCATATCCTGTAGCCGATGGAAACTGTCGCCTGCTAGCCTCTGAATCTGTATAGACGACTCCTTGAGTATCTCGGTTCAGACTGGACCTCGCGTGTCCAGCGTCCTCCGCTGAGGCCACACCGCCTTCCTCGGGCCATGGCAGCCTTTCTGCTGCTCTTCTGAGCCCAGCGCTCCTGTTGTAGTTATACTCCAAATCTTACTGAAATGTTTTAGGTAAAGTCTCCCCTGTTCCTCACTGTGTTGGCCTTTTTCCAATGAAAACCACTACTTTTTTTTTTAAAGCATTTTTTTTTCAGGAGCCATTTTAGGCATACACCCACATTTATAATAAACTTTAAAATTTCCCCCCATTTCATATTTTTAAAGAGTCTTTACCTTGTCGAGACACATACTAGAATATCGTAGAAAAATATATAGTGTAATGTATTCTTATTGAAATAATACATGTATGACATTTTGTCCATAAGCTAATCCTTGCTAAAGGTGGGTACACAAGGCTTTATTATTATGTTCTCTCTACTTTTGTGTGCCTAAAATTTTCCATGGTAAAAAGTTTAAAAAATGACTGACATTATTTTATGAATGTTTCACTTTTTCTGCCGAAGTATGTATTTTGCAGATCAGTCCATATCAGGACATAGCAGTGTTCTACCTCAGGCTGAGTTTAAGTGTTAAGCATGCTGTTCCACCCTCTTAAAGCTCCGTGGCTTAACAGTTCCCCTGATGCTCAGTGTTTAGGGTAGTTCTGTCCCAACCCCTTTGCTTGTTGAGTGCCAGTGTCAGTAAGGGCTGGCGGAGAGCATGGAGTTTGAGCTGACTGCATGCACTGGCCCGGCCCGCTGCTCTTCTCTCCAGGGATCCTTGCCAGGTCTCCCTGGCTCGCCGCTCATGTGCTCAGTGTCCGGTGTTACTTGCTGAGTGTCTCTCCAGAACCCATTAGAGCGCTTGGCGTGTGATGTGATGTGTATTGGGCTAGAGTTTTCTGACTTGTTGAGGGGTCAGGTTCATTTTTCATTCTTCAAGTCACGTTTGACGACCTTGACTTTTGGAGTAAGGATGACGGTATGATGATGGTCCATGATGGGTCGCTAAGGATAGACGTTTCGATTTAGATGTGCTTGGAAAAATGTGTTAGCTGTGACTTGACTCTAAAGCTGTGAGACTGAGGGGTTTTTTAAAACAAATATTAGAAGCCATCCCTTCAGAATGAATATTTGGGAATTCTTTTGGAATTTCTTCCGAGCCCCTTGTGAACCCCCATTGAGAAGATACCTCTTGGGACTTCCCAGGTAGCCCAGTGATTGGGGCTCCACACACTCACTGCTGTGGGCCGGGGTTCAATCCCTGGTCTGGGAACTAAGAGCCCACAGACCACACAGTGTGGCCATAAAAAAAAAGAAGAAACTTGATGACATTTCATAGGGGCTTAATAGAGTATGAAACTGACTGGGTCCTATGGAATGGCCATTTTCAAAATTTGGTTCATTCCTAATGTGTACAAAGGCAGGATATACACAGAGAAAACCAAATCAGATGGTATGACAGTGGGCCTAATGCTTCACTAACTTAGCATTAAGGGGACGGGCTCTTGAGTCAACTGCCTGAGTTCAGATCTCCGCTGGGTTCTACGTAGGCAGTTGGCATAGCCTCTCAACTGTAAAGTGGGGGTGCTGGTAATGTTTTAGCATAGATCTGGTGTTAAGATTAAATGAAGACATCTTTGAAGCACCCTTAGAACAGTGTCTGGCATATACTAAGGACTTAATACAGTGCTTGTTTTTATTGGCGATAATCATTATCAGTGCAGCAGTGGGATATAAAAGTTTACTTGTGTCTTAATTGTGAATTACTTATAGTTTGGTCTCTGATTTTAGTTAGGACTTTCTGTACCCTAAGAGAAAGGATTGGTGATTTGTCTTCATCTTTGTACTGTCATGACATGCCTGAAATAAAGCAGGTGAACTTAGTAAGTAAATACTGATTAATTGAATAAAAATGGAGGTCATCTACATATCCCCAAATGGCCCTGATGTAGTGAGTAAATCATTTGATGTTATATTTTAATCAGTGTCTGATTTTGATATCAGGTACTTACTTTATTTGATTTGATATTGATATATTACTGAGCACGGCCCCACCCATCAGAACAAGACCCAGTTTCCCCCTCAGTCAGTCTCTCCCATCAGGAAACTTCCATAAGCCTCTTATCCTTCTCCATCAGAGGGCAGACAGACTAAAAACCACAGTCACAGGAAACTATCCAGTCTGATCACATGGGCCACAGCCTTGTCTAACTCAATGAAACTATCAGCCATGCCGTATAGGGCCACCCAAGACAGATGGGTTATGGTGGAGAGTTCTGAAAAAACTGGAGAAGGGAATGGCAAACCACTTCAGTATTCTTGCCTTGAGAACCCCATGAACAGTATGAAAAGGCAAAAAGATAGGACACTGAAAGATGAATTCCCCAGGTCGGTAGGTGCCCTTTATGCTACTGGAGATCAGTGGAGAAATAACTCCAGAAAGAATGAAGAGACGGAGCCAAAGCAAAAACAATACCCAGTTGTGGGTGTGACTGGTGATGGAAGTAAAGTCCAATGCTGTAAAGAGCAATATTGCATAGGAACCTGGAATGTTAGGTCCATGAATCAAGGCAAATTGAAAGTGGTCAAACAGGAGATGGCAAGAGTGAACATCAACATTTTAGGAATCAGTGAAGTAAAATGGACTGGAATGGGTGAATTTAACTCAAATTATATTATATATTATATATTATATTATATCTACTACTGTGGGCAAAAATCCCTTAGAAGAAATGGAGTAGCCTTCATAGTCAACAAAAGAGTCTGAAATGCAGTACTTGGATACAATCTCAAAAATGACAGAATGATCTATCTCTGTTCATTTCCAATCAAACCATGCAATATCACAGTAATCCAAGTCTCTGCCTCGGCCAATAATGCTGAAGAAGCTGAAGCTGAACAGTTCTATGAAGACTTACAAGAAAAAAAAAGCAAGAGAGTTCCAGAAAAACATCTACCTCTGCTTTACTGACTATGCCAAAGCCTTTGACTGTGTGGATCACAGCAAACTGTGGAAAATTCTTCAAGGGATGGGCATACTAGACCACCTGACCTGCCTCCTCAGAAATCTGTATGCAGGTCAAGACACAACAGTTAGAACCAGACATGGAACAGACTGGTTCCAAATCGGGAAAGGAGTATATCAATGCTGTATATTGTCACCCTGCATATTTAACTTCTATGCAGAGTACATCATGAGAAACGCTGGGTTGGATGAATCACAAGCTGCAATCAAGATTGCCAGGAGAAATATCAGTAACCTCAGATAATGCAGGTGACACCACCCTTATGGCAGAAAGTGAAGAAGGACTAAAGAGCCTCTCGATGAAAGTGAGAGAGGAGAGTGAAGAGTTGGCTTAAAGCTCAACATTCAGAAAACTAAGATCATGGCATCTGGTCCCATCACTTCATGGCAAATAGATGGGGAAACAATAGAAACAGTGACAGATTTTATTTTGTGGGGGGTCTCCAAAGTCCCTGCAGATGGTGATTGCCGCAATAAAATTAAAAGACGCTTGTTCCTTGGAAGAAAAGTTATGACCAACCTAGACAGCATGATAAAAAGCAGAGACATTACTTTGCAAACAAAGGTCCATCTAGTCAAGGCTATGGTTTTCCCAGTGGTCATGTATGGATGTGAGAGTTGGACTATAAAGAAAGCTGAGCACAGAAGAATTGATGCTTTTGAACTGTGGTGTTGGAGAAGACTCTTGAG